GCGCATTCAAGGCAGCCAATCCATATTGTAAGTGCTACTTTGCCGCAACACTCTCACCTCTCACCCCGCTCTCATTCCTACACTCGCTCTCACTCTCACTCCCACTCCCACTCCTATTCCCAAAAAGCCAAGGAAGATAGTTTCATTTTTCTACCTTCAAAAACCACGAATTTCAACACAAATTTTCATCCCCTTTTTAACACCTATCAATCCTTTTTTTTCGGAGTTAAAGCCGGACAGACAGAGTTACGTTCGCATTTATAATATTACTTAGTATAGATTTTATCGAAAAAGTAGATAGTCTCGGCTCGATATCTTTGTGAATAGCAACGCTCATAGCATCCTACCTCCGAATACACAACAACCTAATTACGTTGAAGCTAGTTATAATTTCGTACACTGAGCACAATTGGCAGGAACGAATGGAGTCGCAGCCAAAAGCTACTAACTTTATACCCTTTTAATTAATATCTGACGTTTAATCCGCGGTTTAGAACCGACTGTTTTAGCTGTACGTTTTCCCGCTCATTAGCGCTGCAGGAAAAGGTTGTAGATAGACTGCAAATACGACTTCGTGTTGAAGTTATTTCATTTCTCTTACGAAATCCTACCCGAGCAATAAAGGGATGAGCGCTGCTTTCATAAGTTACACGTTATTATTGTATAAAGGTGATTCTAAATAGTATAACTTTAACTAACGGTTTAAAACACGAAATAATTTAAGTAACCTTTTTATAATTTACCGTACCTACCGCCCGACGTTTAGGACGCTTTGCAGTAGTGTGTTTTTTTTTATATGTACTACTCGCGTAAACTACTGGGTATTTACTATAGTTTGTGAGTTCACAAAGATGTTAATATGTCTAATAGTGTAAGTGAAAATATACTTCTTTATTATAAAAACAATAATATTATGGATACACAATTATTTTGTATAGCTGGATAATTAGTAATTTAGAACTTAGTTGTTATAACATAAGAAATCTGCGAGATTTTTATATATCGCAAATAAAAGTTATTTTTTTATTATTGAGGAGGACAGACAAATGTTGATTATTAGCCATACATAGCTACCATTACACCAACAAGCTCGTCAAAAATGTTTCACTAATAACGTTTAAAATAGGTTTGCGAATTGTCTAAAATGTAACACTGTCAGCAACATAAGACATGTCGCGTCATAGAGCCGTGTAATGAAGCGTTTTGCAAATACTGCGGAACTCGCGAACTTGTTTCCTCCATTTTCCGTTTGTGTTGCGTCAATAATTCATGACTTTCGTAGCTAGACGGCTTTTGTGATGCAATAATTGCATTAATTTCGTGAAAACTCATGTCGCGTTTGAAACGATCCCCCTTTGTTACTGCGAACGAAATTGATCGACTCGTCTAATAATGTTATTCACTAAAGGAACGACACGAAACCGTTAAGTAGTTACGGGTACTTACTTTCTAAGTTAGGTTTTGTTGACGCAAAGTCTACATTTTAAACGAGTATTTAATTATTTTATGGAACTATTAAAAAGTATGAAGTTTTTGCATAATATAGTTTTGTGCTAGATATACACACATATATATATATTACATACAATATCACATAGATCTGCCTCTATATCCTCAGAAGCGCTTGACAGTGTAATTATGTGCACATATAGCCTAGATTCTAGACCGTTTTATCACACTTAATGAGAGAAGCTTGCAAGACAAATCACACGTACTAAACTAGGTATTTAGCTGTACGGGCGTTATTTCTTGATGGTTAGCTCCTTGGCTGAGCCCGAGTGTGGAATATTGGGCTTAATATAGGATATAATGAAGCAGGTACACTTCTCAGACTTCCGTTATAGTGTCATGAAAGACTATAGTAACCACATATATTCAACAATTGATGACAATTGTAAATGAATCTAAACAAGACAATAAATTTAAGTAGTCCGTAATTAACGCAAGTAGAACACATTTAAATGAAACCCTTAACAGTTTTAAACGCGAAATATATAAGATAGCTTATTTGAAATTTATTATATACTGCTATACGATGTTTCGGATGATTTGAAGCAACCGTGGTCACGGGAGGACAACGTGGGAGGACAACCCGTCAGATCAACATGAGGAATCTTCGGGTCTTAGTTATTATAATAATTTGTATCCAAGTTTCACTAAGTCATTCGCGTTTTAACCGTTAAAGGGGTTTCATTTAAAAGTTAACTAACACATTTTACGTTTTAAACCGTTTAAAATGTTTCATTGAAACAAAATTTTTAGCTGTTATTTGTAGATTTATTTTAGTTTCAAAGGAGTTCGAGTAGAAAAATTCGTTATTCTCAAATAGTGAGCTCGACAACAAAGAGCAATTTTACTTAGAGAGGAGCCTTTTGTCTACATCTCTATGATCCGCAAGTACCATAGTCATTTATCGAATAAACCCAGTATATAAGGCCGGGACATTGAGACCTAAGGTGACTTATCCTACGGGAAACATGAAAGGGATAGAAGCCGGAATTTTATAAAGAAACGAGAACATTGTACACGTTTCGCCATTTAAGGAAGCTATTTATTTGAGATTCGATAGTAAGAAACAACTTTCTCATATTTGTACTAAATCTTAACCGATTGAAACGCGATTTATTTATTATGTCTAAATAATTACGATCCGATGCAGGGTTACATTATAGTTAATGAATTAGCAGTTTTAAAATCGATTGGCTGTTTATATAGCTAACTAAAATACGTACAACTTGCGCACACAAATTTAATAGACGTAATTGTATGTGTAGTACTCACAACGTATTATTGGCTTTTCCATTGGTCTAGTTGTCAAGTGCCTAGTACGTTCGTGTCCAGATCTCGATGTCCTAAGTAAATGTAGTATGACTACAAGGAGTTTTCATATTCCTCTTTATATGATAGAGGAGGACAGACAACCGTGGGGTTTGCTTCATTGATTACCGCCCTCATATAACATCTAAACAAGATGCATTCTCTACGTACTTTTAGATATAAGGAAACCAATAGACTAAAGAGGAAACGCGATAACAATTCAAGGCTTCTGAAACTTCTATTCTCCTATCGCCCGTTTCAAGTCGAAAATTTCAGACTAAGCCCAGTGTGTTTCAAAATAAATCAATTAAAAATATGTTGGGCCGGGTGGGAATAGAATCTACTAGCCGTACACTGCTATCATTAGAACAACGGGCTTGACAAAGTTAAGTAGTCCTTATTTGCAAATTTACCATAAATTTAGTAACGGTAGTCGATAATGTCCGGCAACCCGCAACAAAACGGCGTGTGTTTTTATGTTCCTAAACGTTCCTTCCTATTGCAGAGACTAGTATTAGTAGTAGTGAGACATTAAAAGGTTAAAAAATATTGAAGTACATAAATTAAATGTTGTAATTACCCCACTAACCTGCGCAAGAGCGGCAACAACGATATTCATGTCAGTTGAACTTGATCTCAAGACACCATACTTCATTATTACTAAATCTCGAAAACCACGTTAGAGAAACACTTACTTTCGAGTTTTTAAAAGATAATGCAGGTATTGAAGTAATACCGGATTCGCTACGTACACGTTCGCGACTACATTTCGCGTGACGCGGAGACATTACTGTCACAAAATAAGCGTAGACGCACAAGTTTCAACATGTTTTAAGACTGTAGCCTTATGAACTACACCGTTGTTTTTATCTCATTCACCATTGCTTCTGGCTTTTGTTAGAGCGAGACACTATTATTTACTGTAAGCAACTCGTATTTAAATGAGTCTACAGACAAATAATACTCTATTATGCTTATGTTATAAGGTGCACTTTAAATTGATATTTCCCGATGCATTCATTACTAACTTCTCTTTTATAGCATTGATATATAAACTATTTCAATTATGCGAATTTTCTTTAGCAGCCATTAAATATATAACTTTTAGGTAATTGAAACAAATAGTAGGTCTTATTTCAAAATCGCTGTGACGCTTGAATAAATTATTTTATATTTGATTTTAAAATTATCCAAATGCATAAATCTCTACGGATGTTCTAGATTTTAATAAACAGTAATATGAGGCATACCACAGTATCTATTACATGCAACCACAACTTAGTGTAACGTGGCTTAGCCTCGCAAACTCGTGGGTAATTTTAGCATTTGCAATAATCTAACGAGCGAACTCCACATTTGTGCTTCCATTCCGATTCGGATATTAACGTGTGGGATTATCACAAATCGCCTCCAATACGGTGCCGTGCTGCGATAGCGAGGATGGAATTACATAGCTCGGGGCCCGTGGAGGCGGTATTGGCTTATGCTATCAGAGATATTACGAAACTTGAATTTCTGTCCTAAATAAATTTGAAATCTTGAGGACGTACGAATGTTGAATTAGCACGCCCGAGCTTTACAAGTTGTCCAAGTTTACTCTACGAGGTGCATGGACCAGACATATCGTTCTCTCTTTTTCAGATTTACATAAAGCATATATTAATAAAAATACTAATAGATTAGGTTGGTTGGTGCTTAACTTCTACGCTAGTGCTGAATAAGATACCAGTGATATAATTGCCTTAACGGACCGAATAAATACGGACCAAGAATTTAAAGCCGCTTTGTATGTTTCCACTAAAATATTTACTATCACGCCGACTCTGGCCAGCAAACATTATAAGGTGCGGGGTGCCCCCTGGGTGCTGGTTAACATAAGCTGCAGTCTCTTTTAGGACGCAAACGTTTCAGAGCTTGTCACAACTGTTAATAAATCGTTAAAAATATCCGAGATATTAGACTTCCACTTCAATTGTAATTTATGTAATTATACTGACATTTAGAGCTGCAGAAAACGATAACAGCCATTGTATTGCGAGTAAACTACCCTCAAAATCTCATATATTTAACGTTCTACCTCTTTTCTTCATCTTACGAGATTATTACTTTATATTTACGCTCCTATATATAACTAAATATCGTATTATTATTTTATGCATAAACATTTATATTTTTGTCAATAGTTTTGACGTGAGAGGCCGTAGCTTCAACAAAGCGTTGCATTGGAGTGATCCGCTGGCTTTTGGAAAGCGAGCTTACTTCGTCACCATGTCCAGACCCTCATCTTTAACCGTAGAAGCTGTACAGTTGGATGACGAGGGTATATACAGGTGCAGGGTTGATTTCAAAAATTCGCCCACAAGAAATTTTCAGATCAAACTCAATGTTATTGGTGAGTATTTGATCGCTTCTTATATGTATTACCTATATTTCAAACATTCCAATTGTAATCCACTAATTTAAAAATAAGTATTTCGTATTTTAGTGATTGTAGAAAATGGTTACTATTTCTTCTGATTATTCCTACAAATTTGGGATTGACCAGGAGTTAAGAAGTATTAATGACTAGCTGAATATGAGGTTCTGGGGTTCGAGTTATGCCCGACCTTGTAAAATGCCACAAACTAATTTCAAATAAAATTCCACCTATAGTTCCACCGCATCAACTACTTCTATACGACGAAGCAGGGAGAGACGTTGCGGGCGTGGTAGGCCCACTCGAAGAAGGTGGCAATTTCACCCTTCTCTGTGAGCTGCGCGGTGGTAAGGGCTCATTTAACTATCAAATCTATCAAACTACCCTACCTTTTACAGACTAAATAATCAGATGTCTTGGTAAAAAAATGTATGATAAGATAGGATTTTCTTTTAACCATCTTAAACAGGGGCGAGCTGATACTTTACGATTTCTGCTCACTATCTTTAACTTGTCTCTCAATAACCAACACTTTTTTACAACGAATGATGCTGGGTAATATTAAGTCTAATTATGTTTAGTCATCCGCGTATCACCGGAAAATGTTGGACGAAAATAAGAAACGAAATATTCAACGAAAACCATTTTTTACAAAGTAAGACAGAAGGAACATCAGAGTTATTATCATTACATTAAGCCACGAGAACATTAAAATAATTTTACAGTCCATTTCCTTTTTCGTTCCCCAAATTCATAATCCTAAAGAAACAATAACATCAATCAAATGTGTAAAACTCCAAACGAAATCAATCTCTATTGTATAAACACAAAGTCGCAAATTACATATCGCGATTCTGAAAAAGATAAATTCGCAAAGAATATGATATCACTCAAAGAGACAGGACAATAGGTACACTTGAAGTTGAAATAGAAGCGGAAATAGGTAGAAACAAACTATTAACGTTACAAATGGCACTTCTGTTACAAGCGAGGGCATTTATCAAACGGGTGCAAGCGAATTTCGGCTTTACCCACATTGATTTGCCAAAATAATGTTTACGTAAACATTGATGGAAGGAAATCTCAATTTCCTGTGAAAAATACCAGGTGAGACGGGGAATTGATTACAAAAATATGTTCAGTTGTTTTGTTCCCGTTTCGTTCGACGCATTTTTATAGCAATTTTCGCATCATTTGCAAACTATGAATTTTTAATGACGGTATTTTAATACGCAATCCTTGCGAATGTCAGTATTAAGGTCTTATGGCTATTTCTCTGACATATAAAATTGCAGTTTTAGAGTAGCTTTGTACAGATCTGAATGGAGAGTAACTTTGTTATACGTAAGTTAAACTTTATATTATAAAATAAAAAGTACATGCAAGAAGATACCGACGATGGACCGACTACGCCGTAGCAGAGCCGACTACGCCGTAGCATCAACTGCTACGTCGTAGCTATAAACAAAGCATAATAATTTACAGAGCCTCTAATCTTAATATGGTAACAAAGAGTAATAGTGAATTTATTTTCTTATATTTCACTAGGTACGGTTTTAAATTTGTTATTTTAAAAACGTTTTTGAACATCTTGAGCACCAACAAACATTCGTAAGATGTTATATAAAATTATAATATAAAATTCAACTGCGACGTTAAAGGAAAAAAATTGCCCGAATTGAGTGCTTCAAAACTTTGTACATAGTTTGGAACTTTAAATTTGAGATGAGAAATATTTTGTCGCTCGACTTTGGACTTCCGTTATGAGTTTTTTCCTGACATGAATAAAACATGTATATGTATTATGACGACTCACTCAGACGCAGAAGCAAAGACTGAACATTTAAATGGAAATTTCTGTTTTTATTCATCATTATAAACCTATAATTTTCGCTTCGACTACAAATAAGATAACCGTGTTCGAATTTGTTTAAACGATTGGAATAATTAGGGCAATATTTATTTTTATACTTCTACATTGATCATAGCATAATTTGAAAACATACTTAAGTTTTGCGGAAGATAAAAATATTATCACGAAAATATTTAATACAGTATTTAATAAAGAGAGCGGTAAATGAACAAAGGCCTACATGATGGCAATTAAACGCCGCTTCCGGTATATTCAATTTCGGTTAATTTATGTTTTCAACAATTCGAAATTTAATTAAATCGAAAAAGCCAAATCGTCGTAATTTAGAACGAAACAAAATTTACGATAATAAGTTATTTCGTATGTTCCGTTGCGTCGAGGGGACCGCAAAATACAGAGTTAGGTGTAAAATTTAACGACCCGACGTGAATACTTGTTGTAGTAGAAGAGCTAAGGATTTTCCTTCGCTCTATAACTACAAGCATTAGAGAGCACACATATTGCAGTGTTTACAGGCTTTAATATGCTAAAGATTGAAGAAGCTATTGTATTGGTGTTTAAAAAATATTCCAATTTGTTTTTGGCGTAGCATAAGGTTTACCTACTCGATTCGATTGATTGTGGTTCCAAAGTACCTACTATATTTAGTACCATATATTCATATTTAGTTAAATAATATCGGTATCGATCTCCTGGTCTATAAACTGTGTTAGTCCGAAAGCAACGAAATGCTAAGCTTATTCCTTTTGATGATATCTCAATGGAGTTTCGGCTTTTCCAAGATTTTTCTCACAAAAGGCTTACTGAAATCCTGTTCCAAGGTTACGTGGTGGCATTATTCTCACCATTGTCCACAATGTGAGAGAACAAACGATAATTCTTATCTTTTCTGCTTTGTTATGGATTTGTAGATAGTATTTTTAAAATATATATTTTAAAAGATTATTAAAATAAACTTTTTAATATATAATCATATTGTAGATGAAATAAACAGGAATAGATAAGGAATATTGGTAAAAGTTAAAATTGAGACGTGGTTCGGCGAAATCCAATACGGGTGCTACGATCCTATCTCGTTATGAGAAGTGCCTAACTTTTAACTGAGCGGCGATCGGCCACGATTTTCATAGACCAGTAATTTAGTGGCATACGAAATATATTTTAATTTTAATCTGTATATTTTTACATAGCACCGACCAAACTTTCTAAAAGAATATGCTCGATGGCCCGAGGCCCGATATATCGTAGAAGGCCAATTGTTTATTTGAAATCGATTATAGACACGGCTATGGTATTTGCCTATGAAACAGTCAAGATATCACTTCTGAATAATCAATTTCCGTTACGTTGCATTCAGGTCGGCCGCAGCCAACCCTATCCTGGCTTATCAACAACACACCAGTCGATGATCACACGATATTGAAGAATGATGGCAAAATCATCATCAGCAAAATCGTCATAAGTGGGGCGCAAAGAAGCTGGCTGAACAGCACTGTTCGATGTCAGGCGACGAACACTGCTTTGCTTAGTCCGCACGAACGGAGCGCTAGAGTCGAAATGAATTGTGAGTAATTTTCATTAATAACCGAATAAAACGCGAAGTATTTACGCGAACCTTATTTTTTGTTTAATTACGGCCCAACGTTTCGGAAGCTTAGCGTCTTCGCATACAAGGACACTGCTGAGAGGCAGAAGCTTTAAATGTTAAAAAAATAAAGTTTATTGTATTTATTCGTTTATTAATAGTTATTAGAAGTAAATTTAAAAACGCCTTTATTAACTTTTACTATTACTAACTGTAAAGGCTTATAAAATAAAAATAAATTTAAGTTTAGTGTTTTTCTCCCTTAAGATTTAATTAATGTTATTAATTATTTTGTTAATGTAATGAAAATGTGCTTTATACTACTTTTTTAAACAGTACGACCGACATCGGTCTCCATAATACAAAAGCCAGGTCAGATGTCAGCGGATTCCGAAGTGACGTTGGTGTGCGTCACCCACGGCAGTAGACCACCAGCGCAGGTGGCCTGGTTTAGAGAGAACAGAAAATATACAAGGGGCAAGGTAAGAATACCTTTACTATAATTGATACTACTAAAAGTACTAAGGCATTACATTTGGCAGAGTAAGTTTTACATAGAACTGAATTACAAATATTTGATTAGTAATAACTTTGATAATAATACTTAACAAAGAATGTTGGTATTTATATACATTCTACGTAATAAATGAAAACATAGAAACGTTATTAATTAGATATATTAAATTAGGTCCAAAATATGCTCAATGCAAATTTCAATAATGTTAGGTGCACTGGAAATAATCTAAAATAATATTAAGAAATATATCTCTATCTTATTGCTTATTATTAAGCAATGACCTTCAGTTGACAATTGTTCAATGCCATTCAACTTTTACTGAAGTTTACGCGACTCTTAGTACTTAATAAAATATTTTAACAGTTTAAAACTCAAATATGTTACTTAACAATGGTCATGATGGAACAGTCTAAGGTAAAAGTTTTGTAACGTTTTTAACGAACAATAGTTCAGCTATTGCAAAAACAGAAAGACTATTTCATAAAAATTATGAAATTTAATCTTTATTAATTAAAAACAAAATATATATATATATTTCATTGCGTTTTTCGTGTTGGTGTTATTAACAAGTAAAGTTAATTAACGAAACATTTGCAGCACAGCGAGTACATAAATGATACTTCCACTGTCAGCAAATTAACCATGCTACCACAACCAGAAGACGACGGAACCACTATACGTTGCCGCGCTGATAATCCTATACTCAGGGTTGCGTTGGAAGATTCCTTCAAGATGAGCGTCGTATGTAAGTAAAGCATATATTTAAAGTTCAAAAGAGTCGCCCTGCATTACTAGCACTACAAGCACCATTTTCCATCTCCGGACCAAGTCACATTAAACTAGAGAATTCGTCTTCGATATAAACAAAACGAATCAACATAAAATAAACGTAATGTCCCAAAACAACGACGATTCCACTACGTGAGATCTTTCAGATAGAAAAACTAATTTTCCGACTTTTATCTAAATATCCTCGATTCTCTTATCAGAACTTAAATGAAACATTTAGATGTGAACTCAATTGTAACGCAATAGAGTTCAAATTACGTCGAAATTAGCGCCGAAAACATTTCAGAAATCTTAACACACGGATATGAAATAAACACCTCGATTTCATACAACTCAATTCGAGAACTTTCGAGAAATTGCAGCGAGCTTCAATTTTGCGAAAGCGAGTCCGCGCGAATTTGGACTCTTTCCGTGGTGAACAGGGTGTGTTTTTCGCAGACAAGCCGGTCGTCAGCATGTCCCTGGGCAGTACGCTGAATCCGAACGACATAAAGGAAGGTGACGACGTGTACTTTGAGTGCAACATAAAGTCGAATCCTAAAGAGCACCGCATCTCTTGGTACCATAACGTGAGTGAGTTAAAAGTTTAATTTACTATTTACATGCAGAGTGCTTTACGGGCTTTTAACGTTTGTCCTTGTTTAAATTGTCAGCGGACGCGAAATTTGGCCGCTTACTAAATGACTGTTTAAATAATTTCATTATTCGCTACCACAAAGGTTATATTCTCGTTGTACGGTGCCAGATTTTTATGTAGTGACGTAAGAGTTACGAGTTCATCTAATTAATATATAATTATTAAATATGCTTAATAAAATCTAATATTGTTAGAGCAAATGAAATTGTACTAATTAATCTTCAGCTCCACGAAAGTAGCGCATCGCGTTTTTAGCTCGCCACTTTTAATATTTATTTAAAAATGTTCCTTCTCTTAACAACTCTTCATTCGAGTTACCTTGTTACGTAATTTTGCGATTTTTTTTTCTACTTCACAATTATTTTCACGAATTTTCAACTCTTACTTTGCGACGGACAAACTACGACGGCAGTCTAACCGCTTTAAAACTGAAAATTTTATTTTTAATTAGGACGTTTTTGTGTAATATTCAAGAATATCATTTTAAATATTTGAGCTCAGCATGGTAAATGACTACTACAAGAAATTTACGATTCATACTTGACTTATTGAAAACTTGCTATATCTAACATATTTTGACGTAGTGCAGGTAGAAAAATAATGTTAATTCAATTATTTAAAACACATGACTGGGTGTACTCGGTAACAGGATGAGCAAGTGAGTCAAAACATGTCATCGGGGGTATTCATCAGCACGAAGTCACTGGTGCTTCAGCGGGTGACACGGCAAGACGTAGGCCTCTACTCTTGTCGAGCAGCCAACCAGATTGGAGAGTCTACTAGTCAATCAGTATTCTTGAGAGTGCAATGTGAGTACCCTTGGTCTTTGCTTGTTTTTTTTGTTTCCAGGTTTTAACTGTTTAAAACTCGACATGTATTATTGTGTAACTTAATTTAACTATTGCCTGACCGGTTTGATTACTTTGCAGCAATCGTGGTCACGGAGAGTTATTTATTGACCTATTTGCTTATTTAATATTATATATAACATAAAGGCAAAGCCCTAAGTGCAACATTTATCTATTAACTCGTCCGCTTCACAAAATATAGCACTAAAGAACTTCCAAGAAGATGTCTGCAGAGAATGGAACCACAGACTCGTGATTGTAATGCAAATGCGCTAAGAAAGTGACCCAATAATAGAAGTAGCGAGGATGCACTCTTCAGTGAAAAGTAAACGCTTCATTTAGAAGTTTGTATTTTATATTAAAGGCCAAATTTTACGAATGGAATTAAGATATAAACCGCTATCCATTTCTATTTAAATATCCAAAAAAATATCAGCTGGTAGGTTTTAACGGTACATTAACTCTTATTATTGTAACATACTCTCAGTTAAAGGCTTTCGTAAACAATGTGTCATTCGATAGTTCATTGGTTATGTTGCTAAGTATACATTTATCCTATTTGCTGTTGTAACAAGTTGTGTAAAACTCAGATTTAAAACAATTGAAAGTAAGACTACTTTCTAAAATAAGCAACAAGTAATTTCTATAAAAGGACCTATTTTTTATAAATATCAAAGGAACGATAGCAAAATAACGGTTTTGCTGAGTTATTTATTTGTAAGCTTATTATTATTATAATTGTTTGTTAAATTATGCGAATTATTAATAAAGCAACTATAAAGCCAACGAATAGAAAATGTATACCTTTTAAACTATCACTTACTACGAGACATTCAGTACATATTGAATTATTTTTGAGCCGTCAAACTCGTTTCAACTTATTGTCCAATACAATTTTGCTAGATGCGCCAACCTGCGCCCAGGCAACCCCCGTGGTGATCGGCGCGAGGCTGGACGAGTCTTTACGTGTGAGATGTACGGTCAGCGCTGACCCAGCCGATGTGGCGTTCTACTGGCAATTCAATAACAGCGGGGAGAGCTTTCAAGTGTCCCCTGCTAGATATGGTAAGGGCCTTCTGTTAGTGATTGTACTTTCCGTCGAGATTTCTCGCGTAACCCGTATAATTTTCCATTTCAAAAGTACGTAATAATCTAGGTTAGATTTCTAGTTATTTAAAACTAGCCTACTTGGCAAACGTTTCTTTTGACATAGAAGTATTTTGACGTAATTTTATTTCCGTAAAAAGGGTTCTCATAAGTTAATCTTGAAAGAGAGAATAAAGATATATACGAGTTCTATCGCGGACATTAATTAAGATTATTTTAAAAAGTAAAATTCTATAATATATTTTGGGCCGTTTTCACATCGCACGCAATCGAAAATCCCTCAAAAGACGAATAATTTCCCTGTTTTTTTTACATTTCTTACTGATTTTTTTCGTGTATTGATCATAGACTGATATGATAATCTTAAGTTTGCCGCCATAAATGTTCTAATCAACACAATTATTTTTTTGATGCGAACCAGTAGTAACCGAGATTAGAGCATTAAAACAAACTCTTCTGCTTTATAATATAGATAGAACTGGCAATTGAACATCCAAATTTGACTACTGAAAGGTTTTAGACTTAGTGTTTTCATATTTAAAATAATAACTGTGTCTGTGTGAGGTAACATTCTTCGTTTCTATTTAACTACTAGATTGCGCTTACTTAGACAAGGATGGGATCTGATTGGTGTACCCTGTCTGACAGTTACATTTTTATCGCGACTTTTAGGCGTTTAACCGTTCTGCTTAGTGTAAATTGTAAATCTCTGGACCTTATTATTCCTAGTATCTACGGGTGGCACAGCCAGTGAGCTGCGCTATCGAGCCGCAAGTGAACGAGATTACGGAGCACTTTTGTGTCGCGCGTCAAACGCAGTGGGCACTCAGCACAAACCCTGCGTCTTCCAAATCGTTCCTGCTGGTAAGCATTGACTTACATTATTCACAAAGTATACATGATATGGATAATGGTTAGGTATTTTTTTATTTCCTTAAAACTTCAAGGCGTTTTAATAAATAGAACCTTAAAAAGTATAGTGTAACTAAAACTTCGTATCTTAGCAAAATATATCACATCTATATTTATTCGTGTAGGACTCAATCACAGTAGCGAATACGCGTAAATGTTTATTTATCTGTCTAAAAGATATAGAATACATTGTACCGGTAATCCGGAAACTTTCGTAAAAAGACAGAACAAGCTACCAATACTATAACGCTGTCGCTGCACTTCTCTGCAAAGCCATCTGTATTCGTAACATACGCCAGCCATGCTAACTGCTAAGCTCAAATACTCTTGCGGCGGCATCCACAATGCATACAGTATATTATCGACCCTGCACCACAGAATCACAGAAATAAGTATGCATGAGAGTAAAATTCATATTATTGCTAAAAAAGAAAATAATAAGCTTTTTAAGTAATATATATCGCATTTTAAACTGTTAGTTTTTTCTGTAGAAGATTCTAGTTAACATGATTTTTTTAGTAGAAGATAGGCGATCAGTCATTTGTAGGTGGGTCTTTTGGCCGAAAAAAATAACTATAGGAAATTTAGTGTTTTTCAAAACCGATGAATTAGTTTGGGAATGTGCCGAGGATAACTGCGAGCCCATTTCGCCTAACATTATTCCCGACTTATGTCGCACGTCAAAGTCTAACTCAATTCAGTATTCGTACTTACACGAGAAATTGTACAAAGTAAATTGGATTATAAGCGAAAATCATCAATCTTGCAAGAGTTTGAAATAAAGTGAATAGGTTACGTCAGAACGTGAAGTTTCCGAGCTAATTCCAGGGTTTAAGTAAAAAAGTTTTTATTTCATCGTTTCGACTCGAGGACATAAATCGAGGGCAGGGTTGTCGCGCGCTTCGTTTCGTACATGGAAAACTTACGAATGTCGCTTCACTAATTCGCCCGTTATATTAAAATAAAAAGGAAATCTTACTGATTAATTGTGTTCAAAATAATTGTAGGCGATTTTAAGGTCTTTTTTTACAAAATTTGCCGTACGTATTAGATTAGGTTCAACGATAACAGGCTAAAATCCTTTAAAAAGAGATTTAATTTTGGAAGCGTTTACTATACAAAAAGCAATATAATCCCTACGTGCGTGTATTCATTTGTAATACTTATTCTGTTTTTACATTTACTGTGTTCAACATAATTATGTAATGCGAGTGATATGTTAACAATAACTTGACAACCCTGATGTGTTCCCGACTTAAAGCAAACCCAACTCGCAGCGCTGAACGCCGGTTCCTGATATTGCAAATATTTACTGTATTACTAAGATCTGTCACCTGCCTCTTTGATAAATTGCCTTACAGTACCATTTATATTAACGCATTATTATTAGTTCTATTTAGTCAGTACTTCAATTTAGTTCGAATTAGTGAATAATTAAACTAAAACGAATTTTCTTAAACCGAACCCCGGTAATTTTAATAATTCAAAAGGGTGTTTTAATCGATTCAAAATCGAAATAAAATGGACTACTCAGTAAGTCACTAATCGAGTTTTTACAAGCACCAGCGGGTAATGACAGTCGACGAGTTTCAGAGTTTAATCCATAAAAACTTAAAACTTTCCAACTTAGCCTTAAGACTTCATTTACATTGGATTTTAGGATAAATTTTTGAATATCTCTCCTCGTAATTTAATATTCTCTTCATCGTCAAATGTTCTTAGTATAACTACGATCGTGTAGTTGTGGCCGTCAGATTGTATCTACAGTCCGACATACATAATCTTGTTGCACGGCGAGGACGATACCTTTGTGAACAATACAAATCAAAAAAATATGATACACCCGACAAGTTAATTTAGCAACACTCGTGTGCGCTGCAAACAATTATATAACACTACGATGTTATTCACGTTACAAAACTGTTATTCAAACGCAATGAATGAATTTTACTGTCCAGTAAGATATTATATTTATTAGAATTAGTTCATCCTTCTAATAATGAGATACGAATATCCTTAGTACACGGAACAATTAATTTCTAAGGGGATTTTATAGGACTTTGGCATTTATTATGTAAGGGTAGTGTACAACACACTTATGACACTAGAATAAAACCTTTAGGAAAGCTATCGTTACTTCGTAACTTTGAATTAGTATGTAAAGTGTATTTCTGATTAGAAAAAATATGTTGATACTACACATACCAGCTTTTGTGAAGAAAATATATTTGCCTATATTTCACATCGTTGACAGCCCTAAGCGCGAACCACATTTGTAAATAAACATTTAATATTTAATGCTTCTAATTGTGCCCTGAGGACTTCGTGATTTAGTGAAACGTTAATAATTTATCAGCCAGGGTTGACAAGCACTCCAGTTAAATGGTTTTCAGTGTTAGATGTATCTTTTTGGTTTCTTAAAATGGTCGATTTCGAGTTTTTCACCGTGCACTATAGTGGTTTATACTAATCCTAGAAAACTCTTGCAGATCCGTAGCTGCAAGAATTAAATGTATTAAAACGAATATAAACATTAGCGTATTTAAGATTTTCGTAAACACAATAATCCCTAATCGATTTATTATCTTAAAATGCGCTCCCAGTCGAACTTAATCCGTAAATTACTAATTTTACAACTCAATTAAAGCCTTCCCGACTTCGCGATTCGATAATCTATAAGGGTTTCTATACACATAAAAAAAACTATTCTTTACCAATAAGCCATGCCGGATTCTAGGGTTTACGAAGCATCTTAATCAGTTTTTTATCTTTCACTTAAACTAGTAGTGTACTTAATACTTTTACCAAACATAGGTTAAAAAAATAGTTAATTAATATCAACTCTATACAATTTCGAGCCTCCGGGCGTATTTAAATCTACTTAAAACAATAAGTATTATTATCTTTTATAACAACCGCGTCAGTATCTCGTCGAGAACAATGCGAATAAATTAGTAAATAACAAAATTCTAACGTAGCTCGTTAAAAATTAATAATTGAAAGGAGAACAAAATAATCTAAACGATTTGAATATATGAACTATTAAGTTGACTTGCAGAAATTAATAAACTAAGCCTCTTACTGAAATTTCAATTTCAACTTGGAATTGCTAACAGCCAACGGGGATAGCTTTTGAGCGGATTCTAATTTTGACACTGTTTGAAAACTTATATGGTTCTCTTAACAGTACACTTTTTTAATTTTTGAACGCGATTTGGAATTTTAAACCCGAATAAAGTACCGGGCTAATATAAAAATTAATAAGCATACTGCGAACGAAGTGATAACGTTACCCTCGTAAAGTGTCTACAAAAATGTTGCCAACTCATCGTTAGTAAAAAGGTTGTAAAGTAAATTTCGGGACAAAGCGGCGAGTATAAAACCCCTTAATATTTTAAAATAGGAAACTCCAGTCAATACGGAACTCGAAACGAGAAAACTTACACGCGATTTACAGCTTATCCCAACTTTATACTTCCTGTAGGTATAATATGTTCTCGTAAATACACAGAAAAGTTTCGAAGTGACTTCAGTCCTAATAATAACAGAGGAAGCATCGAATTTATTGTTTAAACTTTCTATACGCCCTTGCGAACCTATCATCGAACCAGAACACTATTTCATTAAATGAGAACAGACAAGTGCCATACTTGTCTGTTCGTTCACCACCCAAATTATAATAAGTTTTACCATAATATGATTAATATATAATTATTTCGTTCTCGTTAGGGTTTATTATTAGATAGTCAACATTATTTTACAAAATCAGGTTGCCTTCGTATCTCTCCGTACTTTCAAAAGTGAATTTAATGCTTCAACCTAGGACCGACTCTCTTCCTATGAAAAATCATCCCCATGAAAATTCGTACTGGCACGAACAAAAGGCGTCGCAGTTTCTCTGCCATTCTGAACTTTTATTTGTGACTGTCCTCGCTGAACTGCCGCATTGAAATAGTCTACAGTTAGGATGTTTCGAAGTGACGGTGCAATGAATTGTTCCTGGCGCTTTGTCACGTACCTAGATGAGTTTATTATTTTGTACAATTCTAAAACGTGATATCGCTAGCTCGGCTACGCTTTTGTCATTTGCGATTTCCTCGATCATTTTCTTCTTTTTCTTTAATTGTTCTAGCCCGACCATCACCTCCGCGGAATTGTACAGCGAATCGAGTGGCGGCGAAGGTGGACGTAATCCTCGCAGTTAAATGCATCGCCGGGTATGACGGTGGACTAAACCAGCATTTTCTGCTAGAAGCTGTCGGCGATACTAGCAAAGCTCTCGCAAATACTACAGCTGGAAAGATTGGTACTGACTTTGTTCTCGGCTTACCAATATAAGATTAATACCTACCTTAAAATGCTATTAATGCTTCAGATTCCTATAATAATATAATAAAATTAAAAATAATAAAAAGTTATTTTTACAAAGAAGGAATTCGCGGACTGAAAAACGGTCTTATTTAAAAATAAATTCTCATCCATTCTTTTTTATCTAGATCTAGTAGTTTGGCTGAACATCAGTTGGTCCGTGCTAGAGACTCTCGGTGAGGAAGAAGTGTTGACGGTCAGCGCTAGGAATAACAAGGGCGTTTCAGACCCGGTGTTATTGAAAGAACTAGTCTTCAAGGATGCGGCTAAGCACACAGGTATTCATTCATTGCATTTTTATAGCGTTTTACAAGCCCTCACCCAATTTAGTAGAAAGTAACAAAGGGTCAATGCCATGATTGCAAGTCGATAAATTCAAAAGCTTCATGGAGTCGAAGCTCGCAAATTTTAGAGGTTGAACAGAAGTGTTCGCTTTACCAACACGCAAACTAAACAGTCCCTTAGAGACCATTTAAATTTATTAAAAAAAGCAATATTTGTTTTTACTTATTTAATATATTTCACATGTTACTCGATGGTTTTATATAAGTTAAAAATCTATTTAGATTTACAAACATTTGCGACACGGGCGGGATTTGAGCCGGTATCAACAGCGTTATACGTTCTAACCAAATGAGCTACTGTGTCTTAGATATTAGACACAGTAGTTTAGGGTAGCAGCCATCATACTATATTTATAAGAAGAAGAAGGTTCTCAAAACATTATGATTTGGAATGCCTAAATAAAAAGTTGTATCGCGTGATTTGGTTTACGTTGAGAAACTTTACATGACATTACGATTTTCAAACTACGTTTTGACATTCGGGAAATTAAAAAAAAACTATTGGAATATTAAGTATTATACCTATTCTACTTTACATTTTTTGTTTCTCACAGAAGAAACAACTCAAGTGATTGCAAAATTTCCGCTGGCTGCTGCGTTTGCTGCTAGTGCTGCTATTGTGACGGCCGCCGGGGCTATCATTGCACTTATTTTTAAAAAGTAAGTAGCACTTGGATTACAGTTGATATTAGTGTCAGCTCATAGTTCTTAGAAAAAAATATATGTTTGGGATAAGTACCGTTTGGTGTGCCTACATTATCTATATATATGTATGTATAAATATTAAGGAAATAAAATATTTATTAAAACCCGATGAGCTTTTCAGCCGTGACAGTCGAGTGGCTGTAAGAAATAAGTTACCTAATATTTAACTTCATAAATTTCGCGGTTACGGGGAGACCGCTCCTTTGATCTAAGGCATTCGAAATGTTGCGTCGTAGATGAGAAATAAGTAATGGTGCGCGTTTGAAACCGTTTAAAATTATTCTATTCAATGTGTAGTACTTGTGTACAATACCATATGTAATTTCTACCCTGAGATAGGGCACAATAATGATGGATAATAACTCTAACTCTATTTAAAAAAAGCGATCCCTTAGTAACAGTAATTTCTACCCTTTGGGTACGGAACCGTACAATTGAGATTTCCTTCTCAATTTGTAAAGGCCAATTAATACCAATGCCGTGTAGTCAAATTATTTGAATAACGGGCGAAATTGGAATTTAAATAACAATAAAATTAATAAGCCTCTTTTAAAATTCAAAAACTGAAAACGTATCGGAACGTGTTCATTTATAAAATAGATTCGGTCGAACGTGTACGAAATTTTTATCATGCTCGCTGAAATTGTGCCGTGTTGAAAATGTATAAACTTTGGCATTTTCAGTAATTTAACCTCAATATTATCTTATTTGTGTTGCATAAATAACATGATTTAAACACTCGTTCAGTATTTTACGTTATTACCGTTACGTTATAACCCGTGACAAAGTTTTACGTAGAGCAAGAATTGTTTAAAGACCTCCTAAATGTGTAAGACATTTTGAATGTAGGTATATTTTATGATAAGGTATATTTTGTGTAGGCGTCACGAGTCATCTAGCACCAGTAAGCGTCCTTGTCAAAGCGTCGTTCAAGTGGATGCGCAAGGCAGGAGATACCTCATAGCTTATCCGACTCCCCACACCCAGGAGAAGCAGGAGATAAAGCCAGATATTCTGAACCCCAAGCACGGTATATTTCACGTCTATTTTATTATTTATATACCTAAGTCTAGAGTGAAATTTAAAAGAGTAAGATTGTCGAAGTAGCAACACTTAACATTCGTAATACTTGTAATATACGTTATATTTATAAATTGGTCTTTTTAGGCGAAGCTGAGGGTCCTCGAGTGGTACTAGAATCGAGTGACAACACGAGTTACATTATTCGGGAAGCGAACCCGCTTCCTCACTCGACGTGTGTCTCGCATACATCCCACGATGATATGGTAATACTTCTTTTATAACAATTATATTGTTTACTTGACAATATTAAAACGAAGATCTAAGTTGAACGACCAACAAATCTCAGGAGGGATTTAGTTCTTAAATACTTTAAATATTTAATATCGTATAGTATAAATAAAAAAACTTAATAATATTTAGTGGTCTACTAATATCTGTTGTTTACGCGAGTAGATTAAAATAAACACTTAACATAACCACGGCTGCGGCAAAGCAGACGAAACGATCGTAGTTATAAATAATGTAAAAGGGTTGAGTAATATATTTCGCGTTTCAAACGGTTTAAAGTATTTTATTTAAATGCTCATAGGTCTGTTTGCACAAACTTATCAACAGAATGAAACACTCATTGTAATCGTTACCTATATTGTCTAGAGTTTCCAGTTCCTACAACGCCCCACTGCGGCCCCCTAAAGAATGTAAACGCGATGCCTCGATCCCCCAACTGTCGCATCACGTCAGTCTAGTCCCAGTTATAATTATTTAGCTCTGTAAAAGCTCCCACGACGATCGTTCCAACTTCAGTTAACACGTATCAACGCTGCACGGACTAACATAGACTGTATTAGACTTAGCAGTAGAGCGTTTTAGAGTAGTATAAAGTGCCAAGCGTGACTGGGTTGCTAAGAGGTCTGGGATATTCTTACAGATAGAAATATTTTTTTATAATTATTCCATAGACACTACAGTGTTAAAAGGGAACTGCACTTTTAATAAATATAAAAAGCTGAAGAGTCTGTTTGTTTAAACGCGCTAATCTCTGGAATTACGGGTTCGAATTGAAAAAATATTTTTGTGTTGTTTGAAGCATTAATCGAGGAAGGCAATAAAACATCGTCCTATGTCTTAAAAATTATTCATCATTATGGGTTTCCGAGGCGTACGCTGCAAAAAACAGTTCAAGATACCCAAAACTATATGAATGAGAGAATGATTCCTCTTTGAATGGTTCAAAAAAGTCCGCGACGAGACAAGAACGACGAGAAGGGACGCGACAGACGTCGTGGGTAACAGCTTAAGTTTATATAGGTGAAGGGGTTTGCAAAACGAATTTGGATGCCCAAGAAAACGATTCTCGCGGACGAAGCCGCTGACACAGCTAGTTTTAAATAAATAAGTAATAAATGTTTTTGTTTCAGATGCCGCAAAGATAACATAAGAAATCGGAAATTCGAATGTTGTAAATAAAGATTTAGTTACTGTAAATTAAAATGCCAACGCTTAGCTGTAAGTGAATATAGACGAATTCTTCCATATCACGAATAATGGTGAAAAAGTTTACCAACCTTTTTTATAACGTATTTAAAATGAAATTTTAAGTAATATTATTATTTAGAAAGAAATCATTGTGAATTATATTTTCCTTAATTTCTAAGTTTTGGTTTAACTTTTTCATCATTATAATATAAGGTAGATTAATGGTAAAATTACACATAATTATATCGTAATTAATAATATGAATGTTGAAATAAACGCTGAAATTTTGACGCTGAATTTTACTATACCCATCTTTTCTGTGTCGTAAAAATAATTTAGGAACTCAATTTTCTTTATTACAAAAGAGGCTTTACCTTGATTTGTTTTTATTGTCATCTAGACGAAATAACGGCCTACTTAAAAATATTTTTTTCTACTATATTAAAATAGCCCAAAAAAAGAAACAATCAACTGTCATGGTAACAATAAATAGATTTCAATAAGCAAATATGTATTTATTATTTTACTGAAATAGGTCAAACTTCGTTTCAAGTTAATTCAGGCTCCTTTAAGATAAAAATTTTATATTTAAATGTAAGCTTTGTTGTAGTGTACACACATATATATATACTTTAATGTATACAGACAAATATAAATTTAAATTAAAAGATCGTGTTATTTTATAATTCTGTAGAAAAAAATCCAGAAACTAAAGTACACTTAGTTAACCTAATTTTAATTGAGATGGCATAATTTTTACACAAAAAAACCTTACTTATATCGCAACAATTGAGCAGTAAAAAGTCTAATTGATTACAAATTAAAATACCTTTTATATTCGCAACCTCTTATTTTTTTCTTCTGTATCGTAACTCATAAGCTACTTCCGTTTGTCAATTTGTTGTATATTATGAGAATTCCTGACCCATTTATTAAATAAAAGGCTAAATAAAATTTGCAAGCAATTTAAATAAAGTTGCAATAAAATGTCGGACAATATCAAAGGCACAAGGACACGTAAAGAGGGCAGAGGGCAGACGGCAGAGGGTCGGGCGGACAGACAGGAGTGAAGCCAGCAAATTGAATTGTTGCCTCGAGGGACGTCTGGTGATTGGTAAACTGCACACAAAGGACGCAACTATACAAAAAAAATGCTAACTGCCACTGAATACTGATCAGTAGTTAGAAATGTGCATTTCGAATATTTGACCACTTCACCCTGTGTGTGTACTGGGAACTGAAAAATCATCTAGTACATATATTGAATTTTCACTTAAAGTTTTACCTCCTTATTAGACTATTCTAGTTTAAATATAAATAAGCACAACTGTTGGGGTGTTCATACGAGATAACCATCTTTTTCTCGCCCTTAGGCCTACAAAGACTATCCATAACATTAGTTTAGAACCTCGTGGAAAATTGTTTACTCCATTACGGTGACGCTGACTTGTCCAAAGCTAATTGAGATGTGGCTAAAAAACGTGCAAACACAATAGAAATGGGGCAGAAAGGTAAAATTCAAGTTTAGCCAATCTTGTCGTAGCTTTAAAAGGCTTTGCTTTTTTTATATCATCTTAATCCGCTAGAGACCGAATTCAATAAGCGTGTGACAATTATAACGATACCGATTATGCAGTTAGTGCCATAATCCCGCGGAGTGGATCATAAATAAGGGAAGCAGTTTGTCGGTCGCCGATTGTTAATTATGGCACCGTTTGCCCCACATTTGTCATTTGTGAAATATCGGTGAGAGATCATTAGCTAGCGATATTATTGTATGGCTCGTCGTCACTCAACTTCAGGTCGACCATCTTTTCATATAGCGACAGATCCAAATAAATTTTTTTATTATAGTTTTGCCGTATTCTACTAAAAATCATTTAAAAACTGGTAAATTCAATTATCAATTAAACAATATTCGACCTTCGAGAGATTTGCAAGGGGGCAGATTGCAAATGAAAACACTTTTCTATGACATCTTATCATAATACACCCAATGACATCTATTCTAATATATTTTCTTTAATCTCCTGTCGAACGAAACACAGCGACTGCAATCCTAGCTAACTCATTTGTAATCTGCGTATACAAATCTCAATTGTAACAGGCTCTCCACCAAAACCTGGCGCCGTTCGCTCGAAAATTGCGCTACCACTTTTAACTCGTAACTTAATTAATTTTCTTCGCGACTTCGGACAGTTATGAGTATGTAAACTTCGTTGTTAATACAGGTTATTATGTAACTTTCAAACTGCTAATTAGTAGAAATGTGACAGGAAATTGTAACTTACTTAGTTCATTTCCATTTCCCATATGTGAATACGAGGAAATGAAATTAATACACCCAAAGATACGTAGAACTCGCATTTCTTTGTAAAGTCTGACTTGGAAAATGTATTGTGTGAAAGCAGATTGATTATGAATAACAATTTACCTCACTTTAACTTTCATAACTAGGTAGCTCAAGCCTCGAAGCTTTCGAACAATATCGAGGCTCGATCTTTGATTACATTAGGATCTAGACAATGTAACATTCTGTAAGATATTGCTTACGTCGTAGTTCGTAGACGAAGTTATAATTTACAACGGGACCTCGTTGGTGCATAATCGATCGAACACAGGTGCAGATAATAGCGAACTACAAATTATTACTAATCAATGGCGTATAATTCACTCGAATTACTTTTATTGCCACGTTGAAAACGTTGCGCCTTCTGCGTAGAGAGTTAAATAAATAATTTATGTCTAAAAACTAGTAAAGGCTTTAGCGACCATATTTACAGTTTTATGATTAGGTTATGACGATACTGAACACATAAATTATCAACAACAACATGAAAACAGAGTTATGCAGGCGATTTTAATTAACTTTGTGCATTTTTAGCTTTCACATTTCGGCCACCATATTACATGTAAATCCGGAAATTATTGGTTTCCTTTTTAATTATTAACGCGTTTCGTTGATCGGATTAAGCGATCAGAATGAAATTTAACTCTCACAGTTTATGGCCGGGCTTAACTTTGTGTCACTTTTCATTTTAAATGCAATTCATCTACGACCGAAATGCAGAATAAATCTTTTTCGCGGTTATATCCGCTGTTAAAATTATAAACGGTGGTGGGATTATGTGAATACAAAAACAACGCTATCTTTATATCGTATATGAGTTAAAAAAGAATTTAACGCAGGGATGTAAACAAATAATATAGGTCGATTCGGTCTATCATATGACATGTGACAGACAATAACTACAAGACAGGTATAATGTAGTTTTTGCGAGTAACTTACTAACAGCGACCGTAGTCGCGAGTAGGCTAAAAATAAGAACTTTCCTAATATCAAGCAGTTAATCGAGTCGTAGTTAAAAATCATAATTCGTTAGATAATATTTTTATTTAAAGCCATTCAATTTGTTTTTTTTTATTTAGTGTCGTTCAAAATACACGACGTGGCCTTATTATAACTTTATACCAACAAACGAAAAATGTTTGATCTATGTATAGACATGTAAGTGTATTTCAGTTTAAGATAGCAGTAATAAGAAAAAACTAGCTTTACACATTCTCGAGAGACAAAAGCTAGAATAGGTCTATTTAAGTGTCACCTGTCTCCCTAGTTACAGCGTTGCCCTTAGAACTGCGAAGTTACAGTAGGTATGTGACCCGTTTACTGAAAATACTTGATCAATTATTCATGAGCGGGTTCGACTTCCGATGGCCGTTCATTGTAATTAACTTGCTTTATACACAGCCAGCGCCAATGTAATCAAATGATTTCGGAGCGGGTAAAAAGCGAAGATGTATTATTGAGATTTTTAAATCTTATAATTGGAAATATATTTTATAATTTTGTTAAATTTACGTCGGGCCGTAGTTAAAATAATTTTCAAATAAGTTTAACTAATATATATCGCGTTTTAAACCGTTAAATCGTTTTATCTAAATGTGTACTACTCGCGTAAACTACGGACATATTTAATAAATTTAGGTTTACCTTGCCAAAATAAGCGGAACAAGTAAGAGTTGAAATCTGAATTTTGGAGATAGGTTACCTACCTAGGTACCTACTCGGTAACAGACAGATATGCAATGGATTCTTTATAAAAGGATACCTTTATTCTTTTTGGAAAGGTACGGAACCCTAAAAAAATATTGTATATTACCGTAATATTGATTTGGTTCACGTTTGCTACACGTTAAGCGCAAAAAATATAATGCGCTAGAACGACGCCTTTATCTTAGCCATTTGAAAAACATATAATTGACAAATGTGTGAAGTAGAAGTAATTCCAGTCACCATTATGTTCCCCCGCCTTCCTGTCCTCGGGGAAAAGAAAACTCTTAGTTATTACTGTTCAAAATAAACCTTTTACTTGTAAAAAGGATTTCTCAAATATATTTTGCAATGTAGAACATCAGTTACGTAAATATTATATAATGTAATTACTGCTTCCTTTTAATATTAAGGGATTCCATTAAATTTGTTAAGTCAAATGCTATGTCCCTAAGCGAAGTTACAATTAATATTGAATACTTTAGTTCATATATTTGCGAGAAGGGTTGCGCAATTCGAAATTATATCTGTATTCAAATATTTTTTATTTAACCAATTAGTCTAGTGTTGTATTCTTTTATTGAAGAGGATAACGGACAAACACTAGCCATAACATATCTACACAAGATGCACTGTCTAAATATTTTGGATTTGGGTAATCGGCAATCCACATTGTCCGTGAACGGTAGTTTGTGACCCCCGGACGGAATATCGATATTCATAAAGTCATTTTTTTTAGGAGAAATGTACATTGATTTTTGGACACAATATTATTGACCCATGAGTAGGCATTGGACCGACGAAATAAATCGGGAAGCTTATTCCCCGTCTGCGCAACCAAAAATGTGTGTAAACATTAATAAAAACACGATGTAGTTTGTAGAGAACGGGAGTCGGTTGTGGTCCTACGTCATCGTATTTTTTTCAGATTTTTTTTCTATTTATTTAAGTCTTCATTCAGACTGTAAATGTCAATCTTTACGCAGCCCTATAAGTTATGAGATCTGAGCATTTCAACCTGTTAGCAGATTGACTTACGAAAGCAGGGATGCATTAATAGTAAAAGAAAGGTTTATGAAACATCAGTCGGGTCCGGCGCGGGATTCGGAGCACGTTCCGATTGATTCTTAACCGCAATTTACCTGAAGTAAGCCCGTGTCTTACAAGCGAGCGAGTTGTTCCGGGGAAGATTCGCAACCTTTTAACCTCCCTAGACTTTGCTTTTACGAAAAGCTATATCTACGTTTTAGCGTCCGTAAGTTTTAGCATAAAAGCTTATTACAATGCAGCATTGTGGAGATTACTTCAAACTATGGAAAAAAGTTACGAATAAATATTCCGTCAATGTTGGTAGCTTTTTCTAATAAACATATTTATACTGTAGAATATAAACTATGTGTGTGATTATATATATGCGACACATCCAAATACCTGTCCTGTACCCGTACTTGTCCAAAAGCCTGTCCTTTTTTTGATAAATTTGAAAGGACTAACGGAATCGAAATGAGACATATCAAATGAATAATATAAAATATAAATAATATAAAATGTGTACTCGAGTAATTTACACATGTAACTATATAGATTTGATAGAAGAAAAAAACAGCTTAGCTAGTTTTCGATTTCATTTGCGGGCACGGTTAAAGCTTTCTGTGAAATACGAGACAACTAAAGATGGAGAGCATCCCTAATGTCAAAGCAGCAAAATATCAAATTTGGTTTTCGAAAGTCAAAGAAGTTTCGACTTTTGACTTTCCGGATTATGAGCCTCTATTACACGTCTTGTTTATTATGAGGCTTTACGCGTGTAACTACTGGTTAAGAATGGTTTTACTCCGATTACCACTTCTCGCGAACTATTTGAAGAAGGGTTAAAAGCGCTAGAACACATTTGTATTCAACACGGCGCGCCGCTATCATGTACCGATATTCTTATTTGAAATATGCGACGGGCACAAAGGTAGAGCACAAAGTAATTCAGCGTTTTTTAGGGTCAGGTCTGATTCAGAACATGGCCCTAGTTTACTAGAAACGTCTATTGGAAAGATTCTTTGTCGTATTTAACCTGGATATTGAAATATGAGAAAAAAAGAGCTATTAAGAAATATTATGTTTCGAGTTAGAGGAAACATTTACATATTCCTTAAAAATTAATAGGTTTTTTTAAGACCTCGATAGTAACGAAATTGAAAATTTTCGACTCGGGCAGGACTTGAACCGGCATCGTCAGCTTCTCCGTGCTGTTGCTCTACCAATTGAGCTACCGAGTCTGTAGCTCAATTGGTAGAGCAACAGCACAGGGAGCTGTCGCGGCCGGGCTTGAAAGAGAATCGGTCGAAAATTTTTTCAATTTATTTTCGATTTTTAAATTATATAGTGCCTTCATGTGCAATAACATGTGAAAAATATTAATGTTTTCAAAAACCTCGATAGTTGCCGTCCGTTTATCAAAAAGTCAATCGTTAGTAGAAAGGACAAAAGACTGTAAAGGACAAGTAGGATTATTTGTCATTGCTTTGGAATGATGATATATAGTAAATATTTTCACGATCCTAAGTATTATTAATTTATAAGAAATATTTATCCATTTTATCTTAAACCTAACACACAAAAAGCAAATAAATTCCAATACAATAAGGGCTTTACTTATTACGACTGACCACAATTCAACCACATATGATTGATGAAAAATTACATCTAATTCCGGGAAAGGGCCCAATTGACCTTAAACCCTTTTCCGCAAATTAATACTAATGTTCGCTTTAAGGGAAAGCTGATAAGCCAACATTCATCCAAATATATGGCTACCTGCGGAAGATTTTAGAAAAATTATGTTACCTTTTGTGACTCTGCCACTTATTTCTCAAATGTCATCTTTTAAACTTTAGATGGATAAAATAGAGACTACGTATAAGTCTAATTTTCTTGAATTTAAATACAAATTTATAGTGCCTTTTAGAATAATATTAGCAAAAGCATCCAAATAGGATTTCTGCTATTACTAAATGTTGCTAAGTTTACACCTCCTTTAATTAATAAAATATATACTTGTATACGTAATATATAATAAACAATTGAAACACGCTTTGACTAAACATGGCATATCTTTATTGAAGTCAATTTAATTTCTACATCGTAATCAATTGTCGAGGCTAGTTCTGGGGACATTCCTCAATCAGCATACATTTTCCGCTGTCCGCGTGTCGAACAGTGGGCGGTTCGCAATAGCACGCAGAGTAGTCGCAGATTATTCCTTTCCCCTCCACTGGGTCCGGTTCTTCGCAGGTCGGCTCAGGTTTCAAGGGACCGCAACCGGTTGTGTAAGCTCGAGTTCCTTCTTCGCACTCTCTGATACCTGTATAACATATAGCATACTCACTGGGTCTCATTGCATTCAAAGATACGTTACCGATCTATTTGTCTTCGTACAAAGATGAAATTGAATATATCTTAGCCAACAACATAGACAATACACCATTTCATATGTTTGAGGTGTTTCGCTTTCCATTAAGTAGAGCCTCTGTGCTTGTCTTTTCTCCCGACTTAAGAAACATGTTTAAACTAACATACATGTACCGTAACTTAAGTGTTGATTATTAAAATGTCGTTGCAGAGTAAAAAATAATTTAATAAGAGATATAAATTATTGTAATTGAAAATACGTTTCACACTTTCTAGAGATTCCATTTGTCATAAATCTTCTTCATTATAATAGCTTTAGATTTATTATCGTGTCATAGGTATTCGTTATATATTTACACTTAAGTATTTACTGCACTTTACACGACGAGCATTTATTTAAATAAACCACTATAAACGGCTTAAAACGCGATTTATATTAGCTACTTGAAGCTGCCGTAAATTGGGCCAAAACGTTGTAATTAAAATTAAGTTATCCAATACACATCGAGTTCTAAACAGTCAAAAATGTTTTATTTAAATTTACACCTACTTAATACCTAAATATTTGACGCCGTCAATGTCACCATACCCGTTCTTCTTGTTTTGAAACTTATCTTTGTAGGTACAGAAACTTGTTAGCGACTGAGTACACATCTCAATAGATAATATTGAAAAGATTTAAAATTTAAATGGTGTACTTAAGACCATATTAATAATTATTAATATCTAAAAATAATTCAGTGTTTTTCTAATCTTGAAGAAATGAATTACCAGAATTGAGGCCGCTAAAAGGCGAGTTGCCCAACTGCAATTTTATCACTTGACTTATTGATATTTTTATAGTAAAAAAATGTTATTCTACTAGAGATAGTACATGTAACAACGTAAAGTATTAATTTTAATACAATAAATACTCACATCTGCCCAATGCATATATACATCCACGCGGATACAAAACAGTGTCCGCCAATGTTAACCCGACCACAGTCAAAATGCCAAACGCTATTATGAACTTCATCTTTGTATATAATTTAAACTCTGCTGTCGACAGGAAAATAGCTAGAACTGACCTTTGTCTTTTTAATAGGTCGGGTTTTATACTCACAGCATACATACTATATACATATGCTTTGTATATGTATGTACTTGTTTAATGATTAGTAAAGTTAGTATACATTGCCAAGTCCGCTTATTTTTGTATCATTAAAACACCGTTTTGTTTTAGGGTTTATTAGGTTTCCTTAACAAGTACTTCTACGAATTTAAAAGTTTTGACTGTTCTACTTCCCAATATTGTATAAGTATATAGTAAAATTGTCACAGGTTACCGAGTACACTACCAAACGAGAATTGGCATGAAACTCGTCGATATCTATCCTAAGAACATAATGAACTTTCAGTTCAGTCGTGCAGGTCATAATAAATGTTTTGGCGAATCACAAAAAGAAACAGAAATATAAACAAACTTTAAATCGAATCTTAAAATCTTTACGTATTCGACATACTTGGAATTGGTGTCTCAATAGCAAAAGCTTGCTTGTGTGCAGAATTATACCGGCATTGGGTACATACCCAGAAACGAATTATGTAAATACACATTACCACCACAGTGTGCGAGCAAATATTCTGGAGCTAAATATTGTTAAGACAACGACTAAGTGAACTATGATTGATTTATTTAGCTCTGTGGTATAAAAAGCATTGCTTAGCGTTAAAAATTGCAGTAAAAAAGTAAAGGTTCAATTTTGTTTTTCTTAAAGTTGTACACTAAACAACAAACTCATTTCACTTTATGAAAAATAAGGAAAGAACGGATTAAAATTAAATTTAAGGCCACTAAACAAGTGAATATGAATAACCTTTAAGGTTGTATATCTTTGTCTGTCCGTCCGGATGAGACTATTAGAAGAGAATGGTGAGCTGGCAGTATAGACGTCTATGAAAAATAAATCATAAGTCTAAAAACCAAAACTACTTTCGCCTACTGCTACTAACAAATCAGTTTTTAAAGTCTCTATAAACTACATAGACCATAAGGTAAAGAGAGAATATAGTGTGCAATAATAGATGACAACTAATACCCGCTAGTTTAGTGGCCGCACTGTTACAAGTGAACTAGCAACATCATAAAACCGCTCGTCGATCGTGACCTGTTTCCGATATTCTATTGTTTATTGTTTATATCGCATTAACACGTGATCTGACTTCAGCCTGGGTCAGACTTTAATTTTTGTTGTATTAAAATTCTTTGAAGAAGAAAAAAACCTTTTCTTAAGAATACAAGCTTAGAATAATTGTGGGCGAAGATTAATATTTAAAATTATTGTCCCCACTTTGAGTTGTATATTATATATATTAAAAGTTTAATATCAGTACATAATTTTGAATACAGTGTTAGACTACATAAAATACTGTTTCATCGGAGAGACGAAACAAGCACTTAAGAGTCCACCATACATAGTTATAATTTATAAGTAACCAGTAGCATTTAATTATGATGGCGATTGGATAACATCTCAAATATAGTAACGGTGTAAAAGTATAATAAAATTTACGACAACGAAAAGTAATACAAAATTTGCGTCCTCAATCCTTAGCAGGCACTGTAAGCTCCGTTATTTTGATAACTGTGATAAGAAACTCCAGTTCAACGACATAAATATATCGTTTTAGTACCTTAAAGAGTGGGACACAAATATGATATTTCATTTGAAAAATTCGGGTGTCTCAGTCCACAATTTGTAAAATAACGCCTAGCGTTGCGGAATAGAATAATATATAAAATAATAATAAACAACAAACTAACATATTCTGCTAATACTTTTGTATAGATAGCTTTGTATCTGTATTGTTAAACATTTTTTGAGACCTTTCATTTGTAAGAACAAAATAAATTGAGGTTTTATGCAAATTTAATACAATGCGTAGGTACATGTATGTTCTATGAAAGTATCTTTCGGTTTTCTATGAATATACTAATTAGATAAGAGAGAAGAAGCTATTTCAAAAACTTGAAAAAGCTAAATCATTAAATCCTATTCTTAAAATTCTCATTATTAATCCTAATTGTCTTAAGATTGATAAAACAATATTTTTTTTTAAATCAAACTCATAATTAGCTGAAACCCCAGCTATAAATATTGTTAAACCAGAAGTTAAAAGTAGTAATTTTAATGATTCAGCAGTAATTCATAAATTATTAAATTGAATTAATAAATAATCTCCTGCAGTCACTAATGTTGAAGAATGAACCAATGCCGAAACAGAAGGAGGAGCTGCTATAGCAGCTGGTATAAAAGGTCAAGGTCTAAAAGGAAATTGAGCTCTTTTAGTTATTGCCCCAATAATAATTATTAAACTAATATTTTTTATACAAAAATCAATATTTCTAAATAAAAAAATATAATTTCATCTCCCATAATTTAATATTCAAGGAATTACTATTAATAATATAACATCCCCTACTCGATAAGAAAGAACTGTAAATATCCCATCGTTATAAGATTTTGTATTTTGATAATAAATTACTAAACCATAAGACCACCAACCATCCCAACCTAAAAAAATCTAAAAATATTTGGGCTAATAATTAAAAATAATATAGAGTTTAGTATTTTTTTTTAATTATAATGAAATAATTTATTTGTTAAATATTTTTTAATTTTTGATAAAAATAAAATTAATTTATCTGAATTATATGATAAACAAACTTATTTTTTTTATTATAATTTGTTTTTAATTATTTACTTATTTACTTACTTTAATTGCCGTAATTAAAATATGTAATATTTTTTGGGTCATTACGATTCTTTAACTAACAATAAATAAATTTATTGCTTTTCGCAAAACTCATCCTTTAATAAAAATTATTAATAATTCATTAATTGACTTGCCCTCCCCCTTAAATATTTCTAGTTTATGATATGTTGGATCTCTTTTAGCATTATGTTTAATTACCCAAATTATTACAGGACTTTTTTTTTAAATTATTTATATTATTTTAGAATTAGCATTTTTTTGTGTTAATTATATTTGCCGAAATGTAAATTATGGGTGATTAATTTGTACAATTCATGCTAATCTGGAGCATCTTTTTTTTATTTGTATTTATATTCATATCGAGCGAGGAATCTATTATGAATCTTTTCATTTTTAAACTGTTTTATTTAGCTCACCCCGTTTGTTTTTATATTTATTCTTGTGTCAAATGGTCTTTTTTATATTTGGTCTTTTAATAATAACAGCTTTCATAGGTTACGTCTTACCTTGAGGACAAATGTCATTTTGAGGAGCAACAGTAATTACTAATTTATTATCCGCTTTCCCTAATTTAGGGATTGCCCTAGTTAATTGAATTTGAGGAGGAACCGGAAAACTGCTAACTTTATAGATTTAATAGCATAACTTCCTAGGTTTGAGAGTTGTGCTATGTTTTTGAAAGGCGTATAAAAATTGTAAATACGGAATTATTTAATACATTCATCACGTATTTATATTTTAACAATACTTATGACAAAAACATAAAAAAAATATCAAACGGTTTTTTTTTATTTATTTATTTTGTACTCCAAAAGTAATATATAATTTAAAAACAATTTTTTAAACTGTTATGACGGTTTAAAAAATTGTTTTATGTTGTTTACTAGAAATGGAGTACGGCCCAAAGCAACCTCAGTGTCAATAACCGAGACTTTTGCACATCGTGTTTGTTTACAAAAATATTACCGTAAAATTTTCGCTAAGGTCCTTTTTTAATTTACAAAAATAAATTTACCGGTGTTATCTTATTTTATTGCCAATAAAACGAATCTTTAGGGCTCCCATATTCAAAAAAATAAAATTCGTCCCACTGAGACTATTACCAGTGAAGAAACAGCGGGAAATGTGAAAGGGGAAAATGATTAGCTCTTGTGGGTTTCCGTTGCGTACTCTAAGAAAACGGTTTAAGATACCAAAAAAATATGTACGAAAGAAAGATTTCTATTTACTCTATAGAGTTTGAACAGGAGGTTTGCAAATACAAATTCTGATGTCCAAAATAATTATTTTACGACGAAGTCGCTAAAATAGCTGTATAAATAAAGTTCATACAATTATTATACAACAACCATTTATGACAATGGAAATCTAAGCTACAATTTTTAAAATTATTCAATATCAACTTTCCTCGTGTTAATAAAATACCCTTCGAGTAATTTGAAATTTCATGAATTTTAAAAATAAAATTACATTTTAATTTTAATCAGTCTGTATTTTAAATTACGTAACTTACACAATCTACTTGAGACCTTTACTTAAAACTAACTTAAATTACAATCACAATACAGTTTAAACGGGGCTGTTGCCTAGAGCCATATTCATAGCATTCAGTATATCACCGTTGTCTGCATCTATTTCCCAAGCAAACAGGCCTCCGAGGTAGTTCTTCCTGACATATTTACCTTTCTCAGTTACAGATCTCGCATTATCATAAGTAACGAGGTCTCCAGTAGATGGTCTGAACACGTAGGGCGCTTGTGCCACGTTATCGTAATGGAACTCCCATTTGTTTTGGGCGATTTCGTTGGCTATTTCTCTGTAATCGACTACACCATCTTGCCACGTTCCCTTGCAGGGGCCCGTAGCGACGCCCGTGAAAGGATTGCCTTCAGTGTAGTTGTGTACACCGGTCCACCCGCGACCATACATGGCTACTCCCACCACTATTTTCTTCGGGTTAACACCTTGGGCGAGTAAGTACTGAACTCCGAAGTCGGTGGTATAAGTTTCTTTAGGATTCGAGGACGGAGCATAAAGCGCAGTTTGGTGGCCCAAGGTATCGTTAGACCAAGCTCCTTTAAAGTCATAGCTCATAACGAAAATGTGGTCCATATAGTTCTGCGCGGCCTTGTAATCAACGACTTGAATCTTATCCCATCCCGCGCTGATTGCTGACGTCAATTCGTATTTCTTTCCAGTTTCAGCAGACAACTCGTTGAGCATTTCTCGAAGCTCCTTCATCAGTGTTACGTATACTTCACCGTCTTTAGGACTGCCGAGCGTTGGATTCGCTCCCTTGCCACCGGGGAATTCCCAATCTATGTCCACACCGTCGAAGAATTTCCATGTCTGAAGAAAATCTTTTACTGATGCGACGAACCGCGTCCTCTTCACTTTGTCGTCAAAGAAAAAGAAGGGGTCAGCTAAAGTCCAGCCACCGACTGAGGGAAGAATTTTCAAATCGGGCCTAGCTTGTTTCAAAGACATCAATTGACCAAAGTTACCTTTGTAGGGCTCATTCCAAGACGACAGCCCTTTCTGCGGTTTCTGTAGCGCCGCCCAAGGATCGTGAATTGATACCTTAAAGTCTTCTCGTCCGCTGCAAGAGCGCTGTAAAGCTTGGAAACTGCCTTCAATTTCCTTCAAACTGTCATTAATTCCGTCCCCGCCGCAGATCGGGATGAAACCGTATAGAAGATGAGTAAGGTTTGGAATGGGCACTCGGTCGACGGGGTACTTCCTAGGGTATACGCCCCATTCAACAAAGTATGCTCCCACTACTTTTCCTGAAGTCTGTTTAAAGGGCTTGTGTTTCTCGTCCATAGTGTAGTCTAAGGGGGGTAAGTGGCTTCCGTCAGTATCGGCGACAATGATTTCAGTGGGGTCACTGGAGCTACAGCCGTCCTTATTACACAGCTGAACTTCCATCATGTAACGCCCACCCTTCTTTATTTTAAATGCCGCGGTGCCTGCAGCTGTCGACGCACCAGACCAGTACTCCTTTCCATCGAGCAAAACCTTGGCCGTATCGGCCGGATCTCCAGACCAAACGTTCCAGCTGACTGTGACGTCAGCGGCATCCTTCTTTGTGACGAGTTGGTTATATGCCGTGGCGGCTTGGTTGACTTCGACTATGGCGAAGGTTCTTTCACCCCATCCCAGCGTCGGCTTACCAGGAGGTCCACACTGCGCGATCGCAAACAGGCTCAAGAGAGCCAAGCCGAGCGCCTGCTGACTCATTCCGATTCCTACAAAAAATAAATATTTTTAAACTCGAGCCCGAAACATCGGAGCGGTGGATTAACACTGATTTCTCATCTCGGTGTTATCTTATATATACGAGGGGTAGAGTAGGCCAACCGTTTAGGGGCCCGTATGGAATGTCGAAGTGGTGTCGAACGTAATAAAAATCGTTAGCACAGTTTCCTTTGCCGGCCATCAGGTCGGTCAAGGTGACGGATCGGTCTAATTGTCTCCCTAATGATATGTCTTGTGCGACTAATGGCCCGAACCCGTTATGACTAATATTCGGAGCACGTTATCGCGGAAAGGCTTTCGAACGTTGACAGAACTGCGATGGACACAACACAGTTATCGTACTTAAATATTGTACCACTACATCACGTTTATGTTCAATTGTAAATAAACAATATTAATTAGGTTAGACTAATATTTACTTCTCTTTAATAAACAGTCTTGTTACGTACCGAGTATGATTTTGGGTCTTCTTTCTTTGATAATTACTTTGTTTGATAAAAATATTTTTTATGGAGGAATATATTTTTAATTCAACAATTGTCATTACAAAGATTTCAGTATCACTAACGGCTTTCTTTATAGTAATGGTGGTGACTTCGATTTATAATCTGTCTGATAGCGTATCAGATTAATTTAGATTCTTCGTTTTCCGTGCGTTTGACTCGCGGCATCGCCTCGCAAAAATATATTATTAAAGGCACGCATTTCAATTATTTACATTTATAATAACCAGTCACAATGACATACTTTAAAATCCCATTGTTAGACAACGAAGGAATGTTGATGTTAAACCAAAGCAACGTGTATTTTTTGTAACTAAATGGGTTATTTTGTGTTTTATTATTTCAGCCAAACCAAACAGTTTAGTATAAGTGTTTAACAATGATTCACAAGTGAATGATTAGTGCGGTTTGTAAATATGTTTTTGATATCTTTATTACTGGAAGTGAAATAGGTAATAATGTAACAATAAGTGGTTGTGATTTAATTTTCCGAAGAACTTCCTCAACCTTATCTAAAAGGAATTTTTGTTGCATCGAAATGTTGCAGTAGACATACTTGTCAATAAGTAATACTCGCGCCTAAACTACAAAGTAATGACAAAAAGAGTAATTTGATTAATACGAGATTTATACGAGAAGGTAATCTTATATAACTAAATTATTGTTTCTTGATATTTATATTTTAGCGTTGTGCTTTACCTACCAAGTTAAAAAATCACCCTGACGCATAAAAGATTTTTCAACGCTGCGAACAAAAATGTGTCATCGAATTAGTTTCAATTAAACAATAAGAAAGCCTGTCTTATATTTGCATACAATGCTTGGGCGGTTTTTTCAAGTTCAGGTCGTCGACACGCTATCGGGGTCGCCGAGGTCCAACTGAGGCCGATACGACTATTACAGCTCGAAGAAAGGATGCGATTTGTTTCCAGCTTACTCCGTGCTAACAAAAAATTACTTTGGTTACAAAGGGATTTCTTACATAAAGGATTTTCTTTCGGAATTTCTTATTAGTATAAAATTCGTCGACATATGCAAATGATCGTCGTTTGTCGTCGTTAATCCTATACTGTCTATAGTTTACGCGAGTAGTACACCGAAGTTAAAAATCATTTTCAAATAAGTTTAACTAATATATCGCGTTTTAAACCGTTAAAGTGTTTTATTTAAATATCCTTATTACGTGTCCGTAAAATAGAATATCACTTTTTAAATTACATTAATGGATTAAGGTACATATTTCTATGGCTCAATTTTAATTCAATATTTAAATTTTAATTAAAATTTAATTCAATCTGTCAAAAGATAATCGCTCTAAACAAATACGAGTTCCTTAAAATGTCCATTATTTTTCCTTTTATCTTTCGCCGCGCCGATAATAACGAATTAACAAACCTCAATTTCTTATTTGTACTTACGAATGATAGTTGTTTCCCGATAATACAAAATTAGAATTTATAATGAACGCTTGTTGAACTGAAACAGTTGTTGGGATAGAATGGTTTTAAAAGAGCTGCATTTAGAGACACATTGTGCGATAAGGCTTTATTTATTCAATTCAATTAGGATCTAATCAAACAAGCTTTTGAAATCCGGTTGCAATAACAATATACAAAACAATTAAACGTTTGTCTGTTGTCATGGATAATTTATAGAAACACGAACGTCGCTTAATGTCGAGGATGCGACCTTTATGCCTGTGTTAAATCTTGATGGGGATAAAAGTTGATAATTGAAAAACCACGCCCATATTTCGACGAGTGAATACCCTGATTAATAAAGAGTTTTTTAAAAATTAAGAAAAAAAAATATTTCAAATACATTCTAAGTTTTAACATTGTTCACTGAATTATAGTCTACTATAAGATAATCTATAAGTAAATTTTAGTATTACTTTTTGTTTTAGTGACGGTACAATTCAAAAGCTTTTCTCCTACAGTGCGACAACAATTATTTTAATAATGGCAAATCTGTACGGCGTGTAACAATAGTGATTACAGTGCAAAGCTTGGTCCTGCTTAAAGGGGTCAATTTTTCGTTTTTAAAAGATATGTGTGAACAATAACCTAAGAGGGTTATTTCATTAAATATTTTTCTAAATTCTCAAGAGAAAGCTTGTTGGCAAACTTTTTTAAACTGCAACAATTTTTACAGGCGATAATTAAAAGATAAATTATGAAAAGTACCCCCATGCTGTCACTTGTAAATCATAAAACAATTTGAAGAATGTATTTTTGAAACGCGAGGACGCTCGAGTTGTATCAATCAAAATACGGGTTAGAAATCGTATATAAACGGGTACGGGTGCATGGAGCACACACAAAAATGATAAAACAACAAGAAAGCAATAAGGAATATACCTAACTTTTAAATTAAACTAAAAAAAAAACGAATTATCCGAGACTCAAATTGGAAACTTTCTTAGGATCGTCGAAAAGATAACTTAATTTGGATATCAACTTGTATGCATGCTGATAGTGTGGTGGTAATGGTTAAACGTGCCAAAGAGGTCCTGAGTTCAAATCCCGGGGCAAGGTTATAATTTGCGGTCATTAGCTTTTTACTAGTGATTAAAATTGATAAATAAAACATATGTTGTCCCATTCCTCACTTTAGAGAAACGGGCATTTCATACAGACTAATATTATATGAATTAATGTTTGAAACGTTATTTTTCTCCTCACCCGCTAGTGCGGTTAGAAAACATAGTACAGTTTTGAACAGTACATCGATGTAACAGTGAGATTGCAGACGCGATCGATCATAAAAATAGCTGTACCACAACTTACATCTCTGTCAAACAGTTATTTTGTAAAAATACGGCTTGCACTTTGATAGTGCCAGCAGAAGTAAAATAGTTTCTGTCGCGATTTATTTCTAGCACAACGCCGCTAAAGAAGTTTTTAATTAAAAATATTTTAAGGGTTAAATTGTGCTCTATAAGGATATACTTTAAGTTAAACAATTTACTAGCATAATAAATCTTTACTGAATGATGATCATAATTCTGTGTATAAGGAATAAACTGTGACAAGACATATTTTGGTTAATATTATGTAAAGACCCACGAAAATGATTTTAATGTCAGGCTTCTTTTGTTACAAGCTTAAAGTTTGGTTTAAAAACCGCTTCTAATGTATTAAAAATAACTGACAACAATGACGTATAATATTTGATTTGTAAAAACGCGGAAAAACATGTCATGTTTCCATTTTACAAAGAAGGACTATTTCTAGAATAAATCGATCTGTTTTGCTCGGATCAGATATCGAACAAGCTGATCAACACGAGCACAAAAAACGTGAAAGGCCGAAATTTACAATATAATCACTTACCATTACATCAGATTACACATATGTGTTCGTAAATGATTAACTAGTATTAAGCATCTATTTATCGGTTGGTTATGAACGCTATCCCCAATAGGTTAAAAGTTTACACAGAACGTTACATTTACGGAAGAGGGTAATAACTTTTAGAACGTTTTTTAGAGTTCCGTGTCTAAAATATAAACATATTAGTAAAACTTCTGTCTGCATGTCAATTGGTTTTAACTGTTGAACTACGTTACCTAGAAAGTTTTTTTTACAAATGATGTATTTTTGCAGTCGCCTCTTATAGAAATCTTCGTGCGAGTGACCGATAGGCACGTGGCTTACTTATTTGAAATTGGATACGCTCACAACACAAATATACACCAAATTGATACTCTCATTAACTTATTTTAAAAATAAAACAAAATGAAAATCTCTGCCATCCTTATACTCGATAAACAAATAAATATTACAATACATTGCTACGTAAAATTCAAACGAGTCCAATGTTGTTTATAAAAGATCATTGACATCTCGGATTTCAAACCAAATAAAACCTTATCGCCTCGAGATAGAATTGATTTTATTCAAATATAAATTTTTAGATGCATAAAAGTTGTTCTCGATCGCAAAGGGACATCTAACGGTAAATATTAACAGTATTAAGTGTTATATAAACTCAATTCTCCATGGCTATGAAGTTTAAATGTTTTGCTCGAGCGAATGTGTAATTAATTCAACTTCGAGTAATCGAAAATGTCTTAATCTCATGAGCACATTAAATATTTAACTTTTAATACACAATATCGTCCTTCGTAAAGTTAACGTTAGTGTATTCGATTTAATAGCCTACATGGGGCGAAACCGACTGTGTGACCTAATGGTTAAACTTAAAATCGATTATTAAAACGGACTCAAAAATGTGTTCGCCCCCACGGAAACGCGATTTCATACTTTGCGCCAACTTTAAATAGGAGTTGATTAAATACAGCTGTATAATTGGTACGCAATTTTAAATAAACAATCCACAAAGCTATTAAAATTCTAACTAAATTCACTAATACCGTTTTGCATTATCCGTCAAGGGTGAAAGATGCCGTTTTAGGATATTGTAACAGTAACCTATTTTATTTTCTCGGTTTCTCTTATTTATACGTAAAAAAAA